GGCCGGGCTGACGACACGCACCACAGGCTCGATGCGAGGAACAGGAACAGGCCGGACCGTACTGGGGGACACACACCACTGGCTCTACGCAGGGATCAGGAACAGGCCGGACCGGACTGGTAACACACCCCCAGTACCTCTCGCCGTTGCCTCCACATTTTCCCTCTCCTCTGTGACCAGTGGCCCCCTTAACCTGGCGGCCTCCTCTGCACACCCGCTGGACCGCTCCATCGCGGCCTCTTGCTGCCCCGTCGTCCACGTCGTGAGCCCCCCCCTAAAAATGTTCTGGGGTTCTCTCCTCCCCGTGGGCCAGGCCTCTATATTTCTCGCCCAACTCTCACTCCTCTGCTTCCAACTCCCGCTATTCAGCTCCTCAATGGGCTTGACCCAGTCGAGGCTCTTCCTCCATTGTTCCCACGTCCACTCTCTCTGCTCCTCCCCTCGGCTTGACCCAGTCGAGGCTGCCACGGAGATCTGCTAGGGATCTCCCTGGCGATGGCTCCTCGACTCGCTGCTTGGTCCAGTTTTGGTGGGTTCTTCTGTCACGATCGTCTACCAAAGATGAGGACCAAGGCGCAGCGTTGCAGGCAAACATACTCATTTATTAGCGAAACGTAATCAAAACAACAAAAGACGGTAACGTGACAGTACACGGTTAAACACAACCAACACGAAACAAGAACCCACAAAACACAAAGGAAAACCGACAGTTTAAATATGGCTCCCAATCAGAGACAACCAGCAAACAGCTGACACTCGTTGCCTCTGATTGGGAGTCACTCAGGCCAACCTAGACATAGAACAACTAGACACTAAAACACAGCACAAAACACACGGAATCTACACACCCTGACTCAACATATAAAGTCCCCAGAGCCAGAGTGTGACAATAAGTATTCAGACCCTTTACTCAGTACTTTGTTGATGCACCTTTGGCAGCGATTACAGCCTCGAGTCTTCTTGGGTATGACACTACAAACTTGGCACACTTGTATTTGGGGAGTTTCTCCCATTCTTCTCTGCAGAACCTCTCAAGCTCTGTCAGGTTGGATGGGGAGCGTCACTGCACAGCTATTTATAGGTCTCTCCAGAGATGTTAGATCGGGTTCAAATCTGGGCTCTGGCTGGGCCACTCAAGGACATTCAGAGACTTGTCCCCAAGCCACTCCTGCGTTGTCTTGGCTGTGTGCTTAGGGTCGTTGTCCTGTTGGAAGGTGAACCTTCGCCCCAGTCTGAGGTCCTGAGCGCTCTGGAGCAGGTTTTCATCAAGGATCTCTCTGTACTTTGCTCTGTTAATCTTTCCCTCGATCCTGACTAGTCTTCCAGTCCCTGCCACTGAAAAACATCCCAACAGCATGATGCTGCCACCACCCTGCTTCACCGTAGGGATGGTGCCAGGTTTCCTCCAGACGTGACGCTTGGCATTCAGGCCAAAGAGTTCAATCTTGGTTTCATCAGACCAGAGAATCTTGTTTCTCATGGTCTGAGAGTCCTTTAGGTGTCTTTTGGCAAACTCCAAGTGGGTTGTCATGTGCCTTTTACTGAGGAGTGGCTTCCGTCTGGCCACTCTACCATAAAGGCCTGATTGGTGGAGTGCTGAGATGGTTGTCCTTCTGGAAGGATCTCTCATCTCCACAGAGGAACTCTGGAGCTCTGTCAGAGTGACCATCGAGCTCTTGGTCACCTCCCTACCAAGGCCCTTCTACCCTGATTGCTCAGATTGGCCGGGTGGCCAGCTCTAGGAAGAGTCTTGGTGATTCCAAACCTCTTCCATTTAAGAATGATTGAGGCCACTGTGTTCTTGGGGACCTTCAATGCTGCAGACATTTTTCGGTACCCTTCCCCAGATCTGTGCCTCGACACAATCCTGTCTCAGAGCTCTACGGACAAGTCCTTTGACCTCATGGCTTGGTTTTTGCTCTGACATGCACTGTCAACTGTGGGACCTTATATAGACAGGTGTGTGCCTTTCCAAATCATGTCCAATCAATCAAGTTGTAGAAACATCTCAAGGATGATCAATGGAAAAAATATGCACCTGAGCTCAATTTCGATTCTCATAGCAAAGGGTCTGAAGTCAGTTAAGAACAAATTCTTATTTACAATGACGGCCTACACCGGCCAAACCCGGACGACGCTGGGCCAATTGTGCGCCGCCCTATGGGACTCCCAATCACGGCCGGTTGTGATACAGCTTGGAATCGAACCAGGGGGTCTGTAGTGACGCCTCAAGCACTGAGATGCAGTGCCTTAGACCGCTGTGCCACTCGGGAGTGTAGTAGATTGATGAAGAAAATGTTTTATTTAATCAATTTTAGAATAACGTTGTAACGTAACAAAATGTGGAAAAAGAGAAGGGGTCTGAATACTTTCCGAATGCACTGTATATACATAAGTATGTGGACACCCCTTCAAATAGTAGATTTGGCTATTTCAGCCACACCCGTTGCTGACAGGTGTATAAAATCAAGCACAAAGCCATGCAATCTCCATAGACAAACATTGGCAGTAGAATGGCCTTACTGAGGAGCTCAGTGACTTTCAACCTTTCCAACAAGTCAGTTCGTCAAATTTCTGCCCTACTAAAGCTGCCCCGGTCAACTGTAAGTGCTGTTATTGTGAAGTGGAAACATCTAGGAGCAACAACAGCTCAGCCGCGAAGTGGTAGGCCACACAAGCTCACAGAATGGTACCGCCAAGTGCTGAAGCGCGTAGCACGTAAAAATCATCTGTCCTCGATTGCAACACTCACTACCGAGTTCCAAACTGCCTCTGGAAACAACCTCAGCACAAGAACTGTTCGTCTGGAGCTTCATGAAATGGGTTTCCATGGCCGAGCAGCCGCACACAAGCCTAGGATCACCATGCGCAATGCCAAGCGTCAGCTGGAGTGTTGGAAGCGTGGACTCTGGAGCAGTGGAAATGCGTTCTCTGGAGTGATGAATCATGCTTCACCATCTGGGAGTCCGATGAACAAATCTGGGTTTGAAGGAAGCCAGGAGAACGCTACCTGCCCGAATGCATAGTGACATCTGTAAAGTTTGGTGGAGGAGGAATAATGGTCTGGGGCTGTTTTTCATGGTTCGGGCTTGGCCCCTTAGTTCCAGTGAAGGGAAATCTTAACGCTACAGAATACAATTACATTCTAGACGATTCTGTGCTTCCAACTTTGTGGCAACAGTTTTCCCTTTCCTGTTTCAGCATGACAATGCCCCCATGCACAAAGCGAGGTTCATAAAGAAATGGTTTGTCGAAATCGATGTGGAAGAACTTGACTGGCCTGCACAGAGCCCTGACCTCAACCCCATCGAACACCTTTGGAATTAATTGGAAAGCCGACTGCGAGCCAGGCCTAATCGCCCAACATCAGTGCCCGACCTCACTAATGCTCTTGTGGCTGAATGGAAGCAAGTCCCCACAGCAATGTTCTAACATCTAGTGGAAAGCCTTCCCAGATGAGTGGAGGCTGTTATAGCTGCAAAGGGGGGACCAACTCCATATTCATGCCCATGATTTTGGAATGAGATGTTAGACGATGTTTTGGCCATGTAGTGTACGTGGGGATACAGTTCAGAGAGTCTGTAGGAGGGAGAGAGCGTCTGTAGGAGGGAGAGAGCGTATGTAGGAGGGAGAGAGCGTATGTAGGAGGGAGATAGTATCTGTAGGAGGGATATAGCATCTGTAGGAGGGAGAGAGAGTCTGTAGGAGGGAGAGAGCGTCTGTAGGAGGGAGATAGCATCTGTAGGAGGTAGAGAGAGTCTGTAGGAGGGAGGTAGCATATGTAGGAGGAAGAGAGAGTCTGTAGGAGGGAGACAGCATCTGTAGGAGGGAGAGAGAGTCTGTAGGAGGGAGAGAGCGTCTGTAGGAGGGAGATAGCATCTGTAGGAGGGAGAGAGAGTCTGTAGGAGGGAGATAGCATCTGTAGAAGGGAGAGAGAGTCTGTAGGAGGGAGATAGTATCTGTAGGAGGGAGATGGCATATGTAGGAGGGAGAGAGAGTCTGTAGGAGGGAGATAGCATCTGTAGGAGGGAGAGAGAGTCTGTAGGAGGGCGATAGTATCTGTAGGAGGGAGATAGCATCTGTAGGAGGGAGATAGCATCTGTAGGAGGGAGATAGCGTCTGTAGGAGGGAGAGAGCGTCTGTAGGAGGGAGAGAGCGTCTGTAGGAGGGAGATAGCATCTGTAGGAGGGAGAGAGCATCTGTAGGAGGGAGAGAGAGTCTGTAGGAGGGAGAGAGCGTCTGTAGGAGGGAGATAGCGTCTGTAGGAGGGAGATAGCGTCTGTAGGAGGGAGATAGCGTCTGTAGGAGGGAGAGAGCGTCTGTAGGAGGGAGAGAGTCTGTAGGAGGGAGAGAGCGTCTGTAGGAGGGCGATAGTATCTGTAGGAGGGAGATAGCATCTGTAGGGGGGAGATAGCATCTGTAGGAGGGAGAGAGCGTCTGTAGGAGGGAGAGATCGTCTGTAGGAGGGAGAGAGAGTCTGTAGGGGAGAGATAGAGTCTGTAGGAAGGAAATAGCGTATGTAGGAGAGAGATAGCATCTCTAGGACAGAGATAGTATCTGTAGGAGGAAGAGAGAGTCTGTAGGGGGGAGAGAGAGTCTGTAGGGGGAGAGAGAATCTGTAGGGGGGAGAGAGAGTCTGTAGGGGGGAGACAGCGTCTGTAGGGGGGAGAGAGAGTCTATAGGAGGGAGAGAGCAGCTACACACAGCTGGTTCTGGCAACCCAAACCAAACTAAACCAACCCAAAGATCTGGTTATTCTTTAGGAATAGTTGAGCCACACTCTCTGTGTAGTAATATATGTATTATGGTGTAATTAAATCTGTTTAAGAGGGATAACTTTTTTAAGATAATCTTTGAATCCGACTGAACATTATTTTGGGACATAAAAGTAGTGTGCTACCAGCAGTGATGGGGAGGGGATAAGGGAAAGGTCTGAAAGGGTTAACAGTGTTTAGTAAAGCAATGCAGAAGATTCTGGGTAAATGTGAGAGGACTCACTTGTGGCCAATCTCGTGGGCGATGGTGAAAGCAGAACCTAGGCCGATGTCTTCATTGATGCTGCAACTCCTCTCCGGCTCACACATCCCAGCTACCGAAGCCAAGCCTGGACACACACACATACACACAGAGAGAGAGAGAGCGAGAGTGAGGTAGAGAGAGTGAAACAGGGTCAGGTCAAGGTGTAGCATTCTTAAAAGTGGTGGCCATAAAAGCTGGATTCCTCAGTTCTGACCTCCCTGGTGTTGAAAGAAGAGCAGCAGGAGAGAGAGAGAGAGAGAGAGAGAGAGAGAGAGAGAGTCTAGAGAGCTAGAGAGATAGAAGATAGAGAGAGAAGAGAGAGAGAGAGAGATATAGATAGAGAGATATAAGAGAGAGAGAGATAGAGAGAGAGAGAGAGAGAGAGAGAGAGAGAGAGAGAGAGAGAGAGAGAGAGAAGAAGGCAACTCTAAACCTTCTCAGGCTGCACCCTATTCCATTTATAGTGCACTACTTTTGACCAGGGCCCATATAGGAAATAGGGTGCCATTTGGGACGTAAGCTAAGAGCGTTGAGAGTTAACTTCTTCTCTCATGGGGCTCTTGACAAAAGTAGTGCACTACATAGGGAATAGGGCGTGATTTGGGATCACAGCCTCAGTCCATGCTGCTGCTGCTGATACTCACCAAAGGGACCTGACTTTAGCATCAACTGGCTAGACATGAACTTTTTTCAACCGAAAGTCAGAGCTGGAAAATGTCTAGACACAAGCTTGGATTTATACATTTCACTCCAAGTAACAAGGGACCACCTAGTAATGCAAGCCAAGGAAGGGAATTTAAGAACGCTGAGTAAAGCTATACAATTGCCTGTCTGTGTGAGTGTGTGTGTGTGTGTGTTGGAGAGTAGAGCCTTCCCCCATCCAGGTGTCTCTGTCCTTCCCCCAGAGGGTAACAGGTCAGATAGAAAGAGAAGAGGAATGGAGACCATTCCTCACAGATTCCATCTACAGGTGACTGGGAAGGGTTTCACACAACACTCAGAAGTGGGGTTGGTTAGGTATTATCTCCAACTCAGATTACCCAGAGGCCCAAGGGGCAAAGAGCTGACCTGTAGCATGACCCCTGATGATAGGGGGGAGGAGGGTAGGAGAGGAGTAGGGGAGAGAGGGGAGAAGGGTTGAGAGAGGAGAATGGGGAAAGGAGAGGAGAGGAGGTTTTTAAGGGGAGGCAAGGGGAGGAGCGGGTTATTTCGGGGGGGGGGAAGGGAGGGGGCGGGGGGGAGGGTATTATTATAGGAGGGGCGGAGGTGGGAAAAGGGGGAGGCGAGGTGGGGGTTTTTGTCGGTTGGGCGGCGGGAAGGGGAAAGAGGCGGTGGGGCGGGGTTTACGCTTATGGATGGGGGGGGAGCCATAGCGGAAGAACAAAATAACGGGAAGGAGGAAAAGGGGGGAGCGGAGGAGTGAGGGTTTGAGGCGGGGAATTCGGGGTAGGGCGTCGGGGGGCGGTACGGGCGGGGGCGGGGTACTGGGGGACCCTGGCTTGGCTTTGGGCGGGGCGGCCGGTTATTCGGGGGAGAGGAGGTAGAGAGGGAGGTGGGGAGGGAGGAGAGGAGGAAGGAAGAGGAGAGATGGGGCAAAGAAGAGGGAGAAAAGAGGAAGAGGGAAGGGGAAAGGAGAGGGAAAAGGAGAGGAGAGGAGAGGGGGAAAGGGAGAGGGGAGAAGAGGAGAGGGAAGAGGAGAGGAGAGGAGAGGGGGGAAAGGGAGAGGGGAACAGTGCTGAGAGGGGAGAAGAAATGGAGAGGGCAAGAAGAAGGAGGGGGAGAGGAGCAACAGAGGAAGGGGAGAGGGGGGGGTGGAGAAGGGAGTGAGAGAGAATGAGGAAGCCAAGCAGATGCCGGTGCAATTAAAGCGACGGGGGGAATGTGACAAATGCGGTCAATCTGTCCAAACCCCCCCCCCCTGAGTCCCAATATTACCTCCAAGATATACTGTGGAGCCTGCAGGGGCTCTACACCATCAGAGGGAGGGAGGCAGGGAGGAGGGGGGGATGCTGACACTCCCTGCCGTCCTTTCTCCACCACCTACTACCAACTACTCTCTTTCTCTCTCTCTCTTGTTCTCTTATGTTCTCCCTCTGAATTTCACGCTCCCCCTCTTTCTATCTGTCCCTCTATCTTTCTCTTTTTACCTCTCATTTTCTCTCCCTTGCCTTTCTGAGCTTGGTTACAGAAGCTTAACAAGTTTGTAAGTTTAAGTTTGCCACAGTTCCTGTCACAGTGGAGTCACAACATGCCAAACCAAACCCCTGGCAAAAAGGACTGGAAACCAGTGTCCTTAAAGTACTGTAGCAGAAGAAAAAGACGCCATATGAACTTATAAATATCCACATTATTTGAGCTATATTGGTAGAAGGACACAGTCAAGTGCACTTGGAGGTTACCACGCCTGTACCCTGCCATGCCGCTACCCTGCCCTGCCTGGACCTAACCCCGTCTGTACCCCGCCCCGCTGACAGTATACCCCACCTGGTCTCTCTGACCTGTCTCTCCTTGCTTCCAGGCCACAGAACAGAGAGCAAAGGGCAGAGCACGGAGAACAGAGAACAGAGCAGAGAACAGAGAACAGAGCGGAGAACGGAGCGTGGAGAGCAGAGAACAGAGAGCAGATAACAGAGAACAGAGAGCAGAGAACTGAGCAGAGAACAGAGAACAGAGCGGAGAACGGAGAACAGAGCAGAGAACAGAGAACAGAGAACAGAGCGGAGAACGGAGACCGGAGAATGGAGAACAGAGAACAGAGAACAGAGCAGAGAACAGAGAACAGAGAACAGAGCGGAGAACGGAGACCGGAGAAGGGAGAACAGAGAACAGAGAACAGAGCGGAGAACGGAGACCGGAGAATGGAGAGCGGAGACCGGAGAATGGAGAACGGAGACCGGAGAATGAAAAACGGAGACCGGAGAATGGAGAGAAACGAGAGGACGAGGCGAGAAGAGAATGGAGAACGGAGAGACGGCAGAAAATGGAGAACGAGAGACGGAGAAGGAGAGCGGAGAGAGACAGAGCAGAGAACAGAGAGCAGAGAACAGAGAACAGAGAACAGAGAGCAGAGAGCAGAGACAAGAGAACAGAGAGCAGAGAGCAGAGAGCAGAGAGCAGAGAGCAGAGAGCAGAGAACAGAGAACAGAGAACAAAGAACAGAGAGCAGAGAACAGAGAACAGAGAACAGAGAACTGAGAGCAGAGAACAGAGAACAGAGAACAGAGAACAGAGAACAGAGAACAGAGCAGAGAACAGAGAACAGAGAACAGAGCGGAGAACAGAGACCGGAGAATGGAGAACAGAGAACAGAAAACAGAGCAGAGAACAGAGCGGAGAACGGAGACTGGAGACCGGGGAGAATGGAGAATGGAGAACAGAGAACAGAGAACAGAGAACAGAGCAGAGAGCAGAGAACAGAGAACAAAGAACAGAGAGCAGAGAACAGAGAACAGAGAACTGAGAGCAGAGAACAGAGAACAGAGCAGAGAACAGAGAAACAGAGTAAACAGAGCGGAGAACAGAGGACCGGAGAAATGGAGAAGAACAGAGAAGCAGAGACACGAGAGCAGAGAGCAGAGAACAGAGAACAGAGAAACAGAGAACAGAAGAGAACAGAGAACAGAGAGCAGAGAAACGAGAGCAGAGAATAGAGAACAGAGCAGAGAACAGAGAGCAGAGAGCAGAGAACAGAGCAGAGAACAGAGAACAGAGAACAGAGAACAGAGAGCAGAGAACAGAGAACAGAGAACAGAGCAGAGAACAGAGAACAGAGAGCAGACAGCAGAGAGCAGAGAACAGAGAGCAGAGAACAGAGAACAGAGAACAGAGAGCAGAGAACAGAGAACAGAGAGCAGAGAGCAGAGAACAGAGAACAGAGAACAGAGAGCAGAGAACAGAGAACAGAGAACAGAGAGCAGAGAGCAGAGAACAGAGAACAGAGGCAGAGAACAGAGAGCAGAGAACAGAGAACAGAGAACAGAGAACAGAGAGCAGAGAACAGAGCAAGACAAGAGCAGAGAACAGAGAACAGAGAGCATAGAACAGAGAACAGAGCAGAGAACCCAGAGAACAGAGAACAGAGAAAGCAGAGAACAGAGAGCAGAGAACAGAGAACAGAGAACAGAGAACAGAGAAGCAGAACAGAGAACAACAGAGAGCAGAGAGCAGAGAACAGAGAAAAAAAAAAAAAAAAAAACAGAGACAGGAGAGCAGAGAACAGAGAGCAGAGAACAGAGAACAGAGAACAGAGAACAGAGAGAAGAGAACCGAGAGCATTGCCACTCACCTAGAGTCCCACAGGGTTTGTTCTTGTAAGTGCAGATGTCGTACCTGAGGGAGAAAAAGAAGAGAGAAGAAAACATGAGACATATGATTCTTCTGTCAGGCTCTCTCTAGTTTTATTCTATTCTACTTTATTCTACTCTACTCTATTCTACTTACGCTAGTTCTACTCGACTCACTCGAGGCTGACGTGTACTCTATGCGAGTGCTACCTACGCGATTCGACTGTGACTCTAGCTACTCTACTCTACTCTACTCTATTCTATTCTACTTTACTCTATTCTATTCTACTCTACTCTATTCTACTTTACTCTATTCTACTCTACTCTACTCTACTCTATTCTATTCTACTTTACTCTATTCTACTCTACTCTACTCTATTCTATTCTACTCTAAGCACCTCTGATGTTGAAACGGGGCATCTCGGGCATCCACCTGCAGTATTTGACCATAGTTTTTATACTGCAACAGATTAGTCAAATCATGAAGGCTTGTCCTTCTATAAATGTATTTAAATGTCAACCAGCTAACACACACAGGCAGGCAGCAACACAGTCTTTGAAGTCTATTACGACCCTGCTGTGTCAATGTTGTAGCCCTCTCCCTCTGTCTGTCTGTCTGTCCCTCCGTCCTCCCATCTATCTGTCTGTCTCTCTCTCTCTGTCTATCTGATACAATACTAATCCAATCCAGCGCAGGACAAACCCAAAGAACACATCATACATTTACAATGAGTGATCCAATCATTCCTAATGCTTTTAATCTATTAAAAACCCAATGACACTGCAAATTACATTTCGTTTTGCACCGCTCCCCTCCCTCTGTCTGTCTCTCCTCCACCCCTCTACCCTGGTGGACCGGTTCCAAACCCATGAGGTACGGTCTCGAGGACAAGCAGACTCCACCTCATTTAGAACATCTATTTATTTAGATTTACTTCCTTTAATTTCCCCCTGAGTTTCTCAAACACCATGGGCCACGTTCCAAACGAGACACACCGTAGCCATCCAGCCCAGAGCCTAATAAAGCAACAGCAGTGAGGGAAGGAGAGGTCACTGTATAGCACAGTGCCTAGAGGGATGAGCTGGCTGGGCCTGGACCATACATAACCTCCTCAAGAATTATGACTGTAATGACTCTGTCTGGGGAGAAGGTCTCCTCTCCTCCTAATGGGCCCACAATGGCAGGACAAGAGAACCATAAGAACATAGGAGAGAGAGAGAGAGCGAGAGAGAGCGAGAGAGAGAGAGAGAGAGAAAGGGGAGACAGAAATAGACATACAGACAGGATAGTGAAGGAGAGGTCACTATCATGCCTTTCAGAACAGACCATCCACCTCAAGGATAATGTCTCTTCCTTATGTTTCTGACTGCCCGCAACCAGACCGCAACCACAGGAGACCAACGCCATGACAACCGCTGCCATGAACACTTCTACTATGACATCATGCTTGCTGTGTGCTCGTGGTAACCTCAGTCTGTGCTCGGCAAGGTGAATCACCCTCGCATGGCACGCTTAGAAGTTTATTTTAATTTTATTTAAATGTAACCTTTATTTTAACAGGCAAGTCAATGAAGAACAAATTATTATTTACAATGATGGCCTGGCAGAAGTTGAGTTTGGGTGTACAGTACGCAATTCACATAGTGTTATCAGCCATACAGATGTATGAGTTTAATTTGATCACACTTCTGTTGCTGAAAATGTTTCTACACAGCAGGAAATGCAAACTTGTAGTGTATTCAAGGTTTAAAAAGGCTTCTAAAGTTTGTAATTTCTACTTTAAAATCTCAGACTTCATTTTCCTAACAAAAAATCTATCAACCCCTACCAGAAAATGTCCATTAATTATAATACACATAATAATTCACCTTTCCTGTTGCTGCAGGATTATTTTCCTGCTGTAGCAAACTGGCTCAAATTAAGATCCTACATCTGTATACACTTCAACACTGACTTAGTAGTGACAGAGACTCTAATGCAACACACAGAGATAGTTGTTAGAAACAGAAACCACACAGTTCAAATAAGGAGATAGAGATCTATGATACACTGCATGGCCTAGGGCAACCCTCATCAAAATCACTCATCATCTTGACTAGGTATTATCTCCAACCCAGATGACCAAGAGACCCAAGGGGCAAAGAGCTGACCTGTAACATGACCCCTGATGTTAGGGGGAAGAGGGGAGGAGAGGAGTAGGGGAGAGAGGGGAGATGGGTTGAAAGGGACGGAAAGGAGATAGAGATACACTACAAGACCAAAAGTATGTGGAACATCTCATTCCAAAATCATGGGCATTAATATGGAGTTGGTCCCCCCTTTGTTGCTATGACACCCTGCACTCTTCTGGGAAGGCTTTTCCCTAGATGTTGGAACATTGCTGTGGGGACTTGCTTCCATTCAGCCACAAGAGCATTAGTGAGGTCGGGCACTGATGTTGGGCAATTAGGTCTGGCTCGCAGTCGGCTTTACAATTCATCCCAAACGTGTTCGATGGGGTTGAGGTCAGGGCTCTGTCCAGGCCAGTCAAGCTCTTCCACACCGATCTCGACAAACCATTTCTGTATGGACATCGCTTTGTGCACGGGGGCATTGTCATGCTGAAACAGGAAAGGGCCTTCCCCAAACTGTGGCCACAAAGTTGGAAGCGCAGAATCCTCTAGAATGTAATTGTATGCTGTAGCGTTAAGATTTCCCTTCACTGGAACTAAGGGGCATAGCCCGAACCATGAAAAACAGCCCCAGACCATTATTCCTCCTCCACCAAACTTTACAGTTGGCACTATGTAGCGTTCTCCTGGCATCCGCCAAAACCAGATTCGTCCATCGGACTGCCAGATGGTGAAGCGTGATTGATCACTCCAGAGAACATGTTATCAAATCAAATCAAATCGAATCGAATTGTATTGGTTACATACACATATTTAGCAGATGTTATTGCGGGTGTAGCGAAATGCTTGTGTTCCTAGCTCCAACAGTGCAGTAGTATCTAACAATTCACAACAATACACACAAATCTAAAAGTAAAAGAATGGAATTAAGAAATATATAACTATTAGGACGAGCGTTGTGAGTGGCATTGACAAAAATACAGTAGAATAGAATACAGTATATACATATGAGATTAGTAAAGCAGTATGTAAACATTATTAAAGTGGCCAGTGATTCCATGTCTACGTACATAGGGCAGCAGCCTCTATGGTGCAGGGTTGAGTAGCCGGGTGGTAGCTGGCTAGTGATGGCTATTTAACAGTCTGATGGCCTTGAGCTAGAAGCTGTTTTTCAGTCTCTCAGTCCCAGCTTTGATGCACCTGTACTGACTTCGCCTTCTGGATGATAGCGGGGTGAACAAGCCGTGGCTCAGGTGGTTGATGTCCTTGGTGATCATTTTGGCCTTCCTGTGTCATCGGGTGCTGTAGGTGTCCTGGAGGGCAGGTACTATGCCCTCGGTGATGCGTTGGGCAGACCGTACCACCCTCTGGAGAGCCCTGCGGTTGCGGGCGGTGCAGTTGCTGTACCAGGCGGTGATACAGCCCGACAGGATGCTCTCAATTGTGCATCTGTAAAAGTTTCTGAGGGTCTTAGGGGCCAAGCTGAATTTCTTCAGCCTCCTGAGGGGCCTAGCTCCAGAGTCCAATGGCGGCGAGCTTTACACCAATCCAGCTGACGCTTGGCATTGCACATGGTGATCTTAGGCTTGTGTGCGGCTGCTTGGACATAGAAACCCATTTCATGAAGCTCCCGACGAACAGTTCTTGTGCTGACGTTGCTTCCAGAGGCAGTTTGGAACTCGGTAGTGAGTGTTGCGCTTCAGCACTCGGCTGTCTCATTCTGTGAGCTTGTGTGGCCTACCACTTCGCGGCTGAGCCATTGTTGCTCCTAGACATTTCCACTTCACAATAACAACACTTACAGTTGACCGGGGCAGCTCTAGCAGGGCAGAAATTTGACGAACTGACTTGTTGGAAAGGTTGCATCATATGACGGTGCCACGTTGAAAGTCACTGAGCTCTTCACTAAGGCCATTCTACTGCCAATGTTTGTTTATGGAGATTGCATGGCTGTGTGCTCGATTTTATACACCTGTCAGCAACAGGTGTGGCTGAAATAGCCGAATCCACTAATTTGAAGGGGTGTCCACATACTTTTGCATATATAGTGTAGTTCTATGATAAATTGCATGGCCTAGGGCAGCCCTCATCAAAATCACTCATCCTCATCAAACCCTTTTTTAACCTGATATTTTTCCAGGGATATCGTTAGTCATAAATGTAATAGCCACACATGCAGTAAAGCTGCGCGTTGCTAACGTAAACAGTCTTAAAATCCCTGTGCTCTCTCTTTAGGTGGATTCCATCAGGGAATGGGGGAATTTTCTAGCAGACACAGTGGTTAATGAAAGCTTCCTGGGTCCATCATTAACTATTTATACTATCTCTAATGTTAGCATCCTGACGCTCAGCCCAGCACAGCACAGCTCATCTCATCGCCTACACACATCTTGATATCCCATTATACTCAGGCCCTAACAAAGTTCTGATTCACTTTTTCTCACTCACTCACTCATTCACTCACTCACTCACTCACTCTCTCACTCTCTCTTTCTTTCTTTCTTTCTAGCTAGCTGTCTATCAATCTCTCTCTTTCTTTCTAGCTATCTATCTATCTCTCTCTCTGTCTCTCTCGCTCATACAATAACGAGACGTTGTAGTGGGCTTATAATACAAACACACAGTCACCAAACGTCACTGAACTCTGTAAGCAGCCTGCAGCATGTACTGTATATACAACATAAGGCTTTAGTGAATGCTTAGCAGCTAGTGTTGGTTTAGCATCAGACAGACGCTGGAGAGCCCTGTAGCAGTAGAAGGCTGAGGTGATGTGAGTTTAGCAGTACAGACCAGTCCCTGTAGCAGTAGAAGGCTGAGGTGATGTGAGTTTAGCAGTACAGACCAGTCCCTGTAGCAGTAGAAGGCTGAGGTGATGTGAGTTTGGCAGTACAGACCAGTCCCTGTAGCAGTAGAAGGCTGAGGTGATGTGAGTTTAGCAGTACAGACCCAGTCCCTGTAGCAGTAGAAGGCTGAGGTGATGTGAGTTTAGCAGTACAGACCAGTCCCTGTAGCAGTAGAAAGGCTGAGGTGATGTGAGTTTAGCAGTACAGACCAGTCCCTGTAACAGCAGTTAAGGCTGAGTGAGGTGATGAGTTTTAGCAGTACAGACCAGTCCCTGTAGCAGTAAGAAGGCTGAGGTGATGTGAGTTTAGCAGTACAGACCAGTCCCTGTAACAGTAGAAGGCTGAGGTGATGTGAGTTTAGCAGTACAGACCAGTCCCTGTAACAGTAGAAGGCTGAGGTGATGTGAGTTTAGCAGTACAGACCAGTCCCTGTAACAGTAGAAGGCTGAGGTGATGTGAGTTTAGCAGTACAGACCAGTCCCTGTAACAGTAGAAGGCTGAGGTGATGTGAGTTTAGCAGTACAGACCAGTCCCTGTAACAGTAGAAGGCTGAGGTGATGTGAGTTTAGCAGTACAGACTAGTCCCTGTAACAGTAGAAGGCTGAGGTGATGTGAGTTTAGCAGTACAGACCAGTCCCTGTAACAGTAGAAGGCTGAGGTGATGTAAGTTTAGCAGTACAGACCAATTCTTCGATAATTACGTTCTTCGATAACAGACGGCTGGAGACAGCACTCCATAAAACCCCTTCAGTAGCCTGCTGGCATCACAATCGCAGCATAACTTCTAAGGCTGCCAACTACTGTCAGTAACATTAGAGAAGTTTAGCATGTTTAAGCCTTACCTACTATCTACATTTTAGTCATTTAGCAGACACTCTTATCCAGAACAACTTACAGGAGAAATTAGGGTTAAGTGCCTTGCTCAAGGGCACATTGACAGATTTTTCACGTAGTCTGATCGGGGATTTGAACCAGCAACCTTTCGGTGACTGGCCCAATGCTCTTAAGCGCTAGGCTACCTGCCACCCCTATCTCTATGGTCACTCCTATGGATGGCTCACCAAGTGTCAACTTTACAACAACAACAGGACTCTGAAAAGAAGCTGGAGACAAACAGCTAAAGTCAACTAGCACTAGTCTAACATTAGTATAAAAGCTGGTTTGTACACAGCCAGGCAGGGAGAGTCAATCACAAAACGACAACCCCCCTGCAGACAAAACAAGTAAGGAATACACACGTTAGTTGCTAGGTTATGTGGTCAAAACAGGTTACCACCCATTAATTGTAGGATGTCTGGTATGACTGAAAGAGCATCCCATTCTCAGCAATTTTAAGAGGTACAGTACTGTAGGTACTAGATATGGACTGAAGCCAGTAATAGATATAGTGACCTGGCTGTGTGTTTCAAAGTTACTGTAGTGTTCTGTCTGTGTAATGCCAATGTAGCACAGAGTCAGAAGGTGGAAGGACTTCTAAAGTAGGACTGCTAAAATATTTAAGTAAACATGCTCTCATTGTCCAATGAGTCATCTAAATAAATGTTTGGTCAAGATGAGTAAGAGACGTATAGTAAGGTAAATAATGACGCACTCTTACCACTGGAATAATAATAATCAACAGCTTGAGAGTGTGTGTGTGTGTGTGTGTGTGTGTGTGTGTGTGTTGGAGAGTAGAGCCTTCCCCCATCCAGGTGTCTCTGTCCTTCCCCCAGAGGGTAACAGGTCAGATAGAAAGAGAAGAGGAGAGGAGACCATTCCTACCTTGTGATGAGGACAGCGTTGTCATGGTGAGCCATGCCATTCTCCGGGATGCTGTTCCCGTCTCCTTGATGACTGAGGATAGACTTCTGCCACTTACAGAAGCTGTCCCAAGACTTTCCATTGGGGGTTTACTCCAGTTGGGCTGGATAGAAACAACCAAAAAACCATTACAAACATCGAATCACACCCCCAAACAGTCTGAACACATCCCAACCCAGAACGTCTGAAACCCCACAACTCAACAAACCCGAACATCTGAACACATCCCACCCCAGAACATCTAACACACCCCCAAAACCCAAAAAGTCTGAAAAAACCACAACCCAGAAAAGTCTGAACACACCAAACCCAGAACAGTCGAAAACACCCCCAACCCGAAAATCTGAAACATCCCCAAACCCCGAAAGTCTGAAAACCTCCCAACCCAACAGTCTACACACCACAACCCAGAACAGTCTGAACCATCCACAAACCCGAAAAAGTCCCGAACCAACCACAACCCAAACGTTGAACATCCAAACCCAAAAATTTTGAACACATCCACAACCCGAACATCTGAACAAAACCCACAACCCAGAACAGTCTGAACACATCCAAAACCCCAGAACAGTCTGAACACATCCACAACCCAGAACTCTGAACACATCCACAACCCAGAACATCTGAACAACATCCACAACCCAAGAACAGCCCTGAACACATCCACAACCCAGAACAGTCTGAACACACCCCAACCCAGAACAGTCTGAACACATCCACAACCCAGAACAGTCTGAACACATCCACCCCCCAGAACAGTCTGAACACACCACAACCCAGAACATCTGAACACTCCACACCCCAGAACGTCTGAACACATCCACAACCCAGAACAGTCTGAACACACCCCACACCCAGAACAGTCTGAACAACATCCACACCCAGAACAGTCTGAACACATCCACACCCAGAACAGTCTGAACACACCCAACCCAAACAGTCTGAACAATCCACAACCACCAACCCAGAACGTCTGAACACATCCAAAACCCCAACGTCTTAACACATCCCAACCCAGAACGTCTAACACCCACACACCCGACGTCCCTGGAACCCCAACCCCACATCCACACCCAGAACAGTCTGAACACATCCACAACCCAGAACAGTCTGAACACACCCACAACCCAGAACAGTCTGAACACATCCACAACCCAGAACAGTCTGAAAAACATCCACAACACAGAATACACAACACAGTCTGAACACACAGAACCCAGCATTCCGTCAAGAACAGGCACAACATTCTGCACTTGACATATCTTGTGCTGAATTCAGATTACTGCAAGCCACTCAGACTTTCACTTAAATCTCCCATTGACATCAATGTATGATTTATGTCTTAAATTAGGATTGGGCCGTCATAGTCAAAAGCATCAGTTGAAAACTACCGTATACAAGCCTATTAAAGCCATGTCCACCATTTGACAGGATTCTGACTTACAGTGAGGGAAAAAAGTATTTGATCCCCTGCTGATTTTGTACGTTTGCCCACTGACAAAGAAATGATCAGTCTATAATTTTAATGATAGGTTTATTTGAACAGTAAGAGACAGAATAACAATAAAATAATCCAGAAAAACGCATGTCAAAAATGTTATAAATTGATTTGCATTTTAATGAGGGAAATAAGTATTTGACCCCCTCTCAATCAGAAAGATTTCTGTCTCCCAGGTGTCTTTTATACAGGTAACAAACTGAGATTAGGAGCACACTCTTAAAGGGAGTGCTCCTAATCTCAGCTTGTTACCTGTATAAAAGACACCTGTCCACAGAAGCAATCAATCAATCAGATTCCAAACTCTCCGCCAAGACCAAAGAGCTCTCCAAGGATGTCATGGACAAGATTGTAGACCTACACAAGGCTGGAATGGGCTACAAGACCATCGTCAAGCAGCTTGGTGAGAAGGTGACAACAGTTGGTGCGATTATTTGCAAATGGAAGAAACACAAAATAACTGTCAATCTCCCTCGGCCTGGGGCTCCATGCAAGATCTCACCTCGTGGAGTTGCAATGATCATGAGAACTGTGAGGAATCAGCCCAGAACTACACGGGAGGATCTTGTCAATGATCTCAAGGCAGCTGGGACCATAGTCACCAAGAAAACAATTGGTAACACACTACGCCGTGAAGGATTGAAATCCTGCAGCGCCCGCAAGGTCCCCCTGCTCAAGGAAGCACATATACAGGGCCGTCTGAATTTTGCCAATGAACATCTGAATGATTCAGAGGAGAACTGGGTGAAAGTGTTGTGGTCAGATGAGACCAAAATCTAGCTTTTTGACATCAACTCGCCGTGTTTGGAGGAGGAATGCTGCCTATGACCCCAAGAACACCATCCCCACCGTCAAACATGGAGGTGGAAACATTATGCTTTGGGGGTGTTTTTCTGCTAAGGGGACAGGACAACTTCACCGCATCAAAGGGACGATGGACGGGTACCGTCAAATCTTGGGTGAGAACCTCCTTCCCTCAGCCAGGGCATTGAAAATGGGTCGTGGATGGGTATTCCAGCATGACAATGACCCAAAACACACGGCCAAGGCAACAAAGGAGTGGCTCAAGAAGAAGCACATTAAGGTCCTGGAGTGGCCTAGCCAGTCTCCAGTCCTTAATCCCATAGAAAATCTGTGGAGGGAGCTGAAGGTTCGAGTTGCCAAACGTCAGCCTCGAAACCTTAATGACTTGGAGAAGATCTGCAAAGAGGAGTGGAACAAAATCCCTCCTGAGATGTGTGCAAACCCGGTGGCCAACTACAAGAAATGTCTGACCTCTGTGATTGCCAACAAGGGTTTTGCCACCAAGTACTAAGTCATGTTTTGCAGAGGGGTCAAATACTTATTTCCCTCATTAAAATGCAAATCAATTTATAACATTTTTGACATGCGTTTTTCTAGATTATTTTGTTGTTATTCTGTCTCTCACTGTTCAAATAAACCTACCATTAAAATTATAGACTAATCATGTCTTTGTCAGTGGGCAAACGTACAAAATCAGCAGGGGATCAAATACTTTTTTCCCTCACTGTATCCGTTAAAATAATCCATATGATCAATCTATGAAAGATAGATTTAATATAATATATCAATAATATATAAATATATTCATATTACACTCCATATTACACTCCACAGTCTTAAAATGGAGAAGGAATGAAGAGGTATTCATCTCTGCTGGAGTCCATCCTCTATAGACTGAAGCTAGATGTACAGTTCACTCTGTTTCTCCCATCAAACATTATATATCCTCAATCAAATCTCCCTGAGGGAAGATGTCTGAGCTCATCTCCTGAGCTTCGTCTTTAGTGGTGGCAGACATATGGTAGATGCTTCCTATCCTCTCTCTTTTCCTCTCTTCTCTCTCTTCTCGCTCTTCTATTCTGGTGTCCTCTCGTCTTGTCACACCTTTCCTCTCTCACCTCTCTTTCGTCCTTCTACTCTCTCTCCCAACTGTTTGGAATAACTATGTTATTGCATAATAAGTACCCAAAACACAGAAATTGTAACTGAGATTAGAGAAATACATAGATGTTGATGTGGAACAAAGAGAGAGGCAGAGTGATGAGAGAGAAGAGAAACAGAGAGAGAGAGAGAGAATAGAGAGAGAGAAGAGAGAGAGAGAGAGAAGAGAGAGGAGAACGAAGAGCAGACGAGAGAGAGAGAGATAGAGAAGCGAGCATTATCAGGCAAGCAGAACACATCGAGATAGCTAGCGAGCTCAGCTCTCTCATCTGCTCGCTCTCTCTCTCTCTCGCTCCTCTCGCTTCGCTCCTTCCTACTCTGTCGCCCCTCTCTCTCTCTATCTCTCTCTGCTCTCTCCCTCGGTCTCTCTCGCCTCCCGCTCGCCCTACTCTCTCTGCTCTCTCTCCTCTCTCCCTACCTCGCTCGCTCTCGCTCTTCCTCTCTCTCGCTCTCTCTCTCCTCTCTCTCTCGCTCTCGCTCTATCTCCTCTCTTCCCGCCTCTCTCCTCTCCTCCTCTCTCTCTCTCTCTCTCTCTCTCCTCCTCTCTCGCTCTCTCTCTCCCTCCCTCTCGCTCTCCGCTCCCTCTCTCTCCCTCCTCCCTCTCGTCTCTCTCGCTCTCTCTCTCTCTCCTCTCTCCTCTCTCTCTCCTCCTCTCTCTCTCTCCCCTCTCTCTCTCTCTCCTCTCCCTCCCTCTCTCTCTCTCTCTCCTCTCTCCTCGTCCCTCCTCTCGCTCTCCCTCGCTCCCTGCCCTCCCTCGCTGCGCTCTCCGTCTCACTCTCTCTCTCCTCTCCTCCCCTCTCCTCTCCCTCTCTCTGCTCTCTCTCTCTCTCTCTCTCTCCGCCTCGCTCTGCTCTCTCTCTCTCGCCTCTCTCCTCTCCCGCCCCTCCCGCGCCGCGCCTCTCGCTGCTCGCCTCTCGCTCTCTCTCGCGCTCTCTCGCTCGCTCTCTCTCTCCCCTCTCTCCCGCGCTCTCTCTCCTCTCTCCGCCTCTCTCCTCTCCTCCTCGTCCCTCCCCGCTCTCTTCCTCGCTCCTCTCTCTCTGCCCTCTCCTCGCTCTCGCGCTGCTCTCTCCCGCGCGCTCGCTCTCCTCGCCGCTCTGCTAGCATCTCGCGCTCTTTTCCGCCGCTCGCGCCAGGCCCCTACTATCGAGAGCATGAGGCCCTCCCCTGACGCTCCCAGTAGATCCCCCGCTTGACCGACTACAGAGCAGAGAAAGTGCCCTCACCTGGTCCTCAGTCAGTACGATCAGGCGGGTTACTATAATGTTCACAACGTTTCCTAGGCTGGCATCACGGTACAGTTTGGCAACCTGACCTCCAGAAAAGAAGAAAAGACACAAAGTCAGACAAACTGTCACAACACTGGATCAGTGTTTTATTCACACATACTGGGGGTGAAAACAGCAACCACACATCCAGCTTACGCTGCGATTTAAATGTCTGTTTTCAGTTAGAGAGAACATTCTGTTAAAATGTTAATGAAAACAAAATTCTATCCAAAGGGAGAAACGCTTCGAATAAGTACATTGTTCATGTTCCAATACTCTACATTGGCCTGTTTCCAATATCAGCAGGCTAGGGGTGCATCTCAATATCTTTCCTCCAATCCTTCATCTCTATTGATGTGAAAGACCTGGACAGGTGAAAGTGAGTCCTGAGTGCTTTCTAATATCCTGTGAACTCAAACTAATGTATTTACATTTACATTTTAGTCATTTAGCAGACCATTGAAATGAACCCATTTTGAGATTGACCCCAACTCTATTAACAGGCTTTTTCTTTGAGACAAAACAACACTAATCAAAGCGAAAAGCAGGATCAAACTTACAATATTCATCACAGATAGGATATAGTGCTCGATGTCTTTGCGTCCATGGTAACCAACCATCATCTTATCAGCTACCACCAGGGTCTCCACGAAGCGCTCCATGCTGACCGACCGCCTCTGTCTGTAGCCCCCGCCAGGAAGAGAGCTGTTGGACCCAGAGGCTGGGGTGGGAGAGGAGGAGTGAGGGGAGGAGGTTGGAGAGGTTGGGGAAGGAGTGCTATGTTGGCAGGGGCTCCCGCTTTTTGTGAGGTCTGTGGATGAAGGAGAGAGAGAAAAAAGAGCGAGAAATGTTGTTTTCTGATGATGTGCTGTGAAAAAGAACCATCTCAGGTGATTATAGGAAATGGTTTATCTGATGACCATCTTCATAGGGTGTGGTAACTTCAAAAAGAAAGGTAGCCTTTGATACTGTTCACCTCTATAGAAACATTCTAGGAAGATTAGAAACTACTGATGATTTGATAACCAATAATCAGTCGAACATTTATTAAACATTTATCAACATTGAAAAAACAAGTCACTCAATTAAAACACAATGAAACAATCAGATATATGTCCATGAAGGCATTGCCAGAGCAGAGCCAGGGGAGGGTTGGAGATAGAATGGCAGTCAGACACACATTGGGAATCTGGCCCTTTGAAACTTGCAGCTGAAGGCTTCCCTTCCTTTATGGCCCAGATGCTCTGGGGAAGGGCTATAAGATAGAACGTGTCAGGACACGTCAGCTTCCTGCCCATGACAGCCTTCGCTGCTACTTATAAGACCTTGGCCCAAATACCTCCACATCCACCTGGTTACCCTCCAATCTCCATCCCACCTCACCACATCGCACAGGACACAGCTCTGACGAGAGCCAGAGTATGTGTATTTTTGAGAAAAGGAGCCTCCATTTGGATTCAGTGGTAGTAGTTGCTCTAGTTCAATAGTGCCCAGTCACAGTCTATAAGGCCTTTCTATGATCAGTTCTGGTGCATACACAATGCTGAGTGGAGCCGAGAACGGGTCAGGCTTACAGCAGCATGGTCACAGCCACCGGAACCTGGGCCTAGAACCAAACCAGCACTTCCTCTGTCCTGCTATGTATAGCTGCTTGTTTACATCAGTCACCCAGCTCAGAGTCAGTCCAGGTTGAGGGGAGGGGAGAGCAGGGGAGAGGAGAGGAGAGGAGAGGAGAGGAGAGGAGAGGAGAGGAGAGGAGAGGAGAGGAGAGGAGAGGAGAGGAGAGGAGAGGAGAGGAGAGGAGGAGGAGAGGAGAGGAGAGGAGAGGAGAGGAGAGGAGAGGAGAGGAACTAAACGAGAAGAGCAGAGAAGAGAAAATTCTTCACCAACCTGAGATGCCACAGCTGAACTCGTGTTGGCTGGGTTGCTGCTGCGGCGAGGGAATGGAAGACTTTTTATATATAACATGCTGCTGTCCTTCTCCCTGGTCCCATTGGCTGGAAGTTGTGGAGGATATATTCTTGAATGGCTCTATTAAATACTGCTCTTCTTCTGTTGTAATAACACCGTGCTTGTTGAGAAACAAGAACATCGAGAGAGACAGGTTATAAGCAAAGGCAAACAATGTCACAACACACACACATAAACACAACATTTGAATTGATCTTATTGTAGTAATAATTACATAACGCTCTTAAATTTTTTTTAAACATTTTGCCAAAAGTAAGTCAGACCAGCCTAAATTGCCTTACAGTAAACCATTTTAAGCTGTTTATATGAAATTACTTTTGACAAATAACCATTTTCATTATAGTAATCAACATATTGTTTTACTAATGAGTATTATTAACCAGGTTGAACGCTTTGTTCAGCACAACCACAATCATCTGTGAAATGATTGGCACCCTGAGTCAGGGCTAGATGGCTAGCCATCTAGTAACATTGCAGGCTGCAGCACATAGAACAACTAACTCACAGCTCTGCTCTGCTCTGCTCTGTGTGTTGCACTGCAGTCAGATGTAAAAACACCCCACACTCCGAAGCAATTTGATAAATCATGTTATAACAACCAATTACACCTAGAACAACGCTGTAATTACTGGGACTGGAACCAAAATACACAGCTCTCTGCCCTTGAACACCCCCTTTGTAACATAAATTGAAAAGTACTTCAGAATGTGTTTATAAAAAACATTGGCACGCTGCTTCCCTCCGTAAAACACACAATGAAACCAATTAACCAAATATGACAACTTGGCACACGCCGGCAAGAAACCCATATTTGATAAATGCCTAGCAGAGTGTGATGTCAAGATATCAAATACGTCTGGCAATTTACGAGATTAAACTACAGATACATTTCATTTTGTCCTTTTTTGGTACTATTAAAATGGTCTGAGGCGAAACAGACATAATACTAATTCAATGTATGATACTGTATGTTTGGCCGCAACAACGGTAATACATGTTTTTCTCCACATAATTGCGATTGGCACAGAGGAACAGAGCTTTCTTCTTATTCTGAGACGTTTCAAAGTAAAAGAGGGGGGATAAGAGGGGGGATATGAGGAGGGATGGGGGATAAGAGGGGGGATAAGAGGGGAGATAAGAGGGGGGTTAGGGGGAATAAGAGGAGGAATAAGAGGAGGGATGGGGGGCATAAGAGTGGGATAAGAGGAGGGATGGGGGATAAGAGGTGGGATAAGAGGAGGGATGGGGTATAAGAGGGGGGATAAGAGGAGGGATGGGGATAAGGGGGGATAAGAGGAGGGATGGGGGGATAAGAGGAGGGATGGAGGGATAAGAGGAGGGATGGGGGATAAGAGGGGGGATAAGAGGAGGGATGGGGGATAAGAGGAGGGATGGGGGGATAAGAGGAGGGCTGGAGGGATAAGAGGAGGGATGGGGGATTAGAGGGGGGGATAAGAGGGGAGATAAGAGGGGGGGATAAGAGGGGGGTTTAGAGGGGGGATAAGGGGGGGGTTAAGAGGGGGGATAAGAGGGGGGATAAGAGGGGAGTTAGAGGGAATAAGAGGGGGATAAGAGGGGGTTAAGAGGGGACGTAAGAGTTTTTTCCAAATGCTTCCACCCCTAATTGGAGTAAACTAATGGACAACAATATTTAGGCTTCAACTCAGTGGTGAGTTTTAATGAAAACAGTCTGGCCAGTCTGTCAGTGGTGAGTTTTAATGAAGACAGTCTGGCCAGTCTGTCAGTGGTGAGTTTTAATGAAAACAGTCTGGCCAGTCTGTCAGTGGTGAGTTTTAATGAAAACAGTCTGGCCAGTCTGTCAGTGGTGAGTTTTAATGAAGACAGTCTGGCCAGTCTGTCAGTGGTGAGTTTTTATTGAAAACAGTCTGGCCAGTCTGTCAGTGGTGAGTTTTAATTAAGACAGTCTGGCCAGTCTATCAGTGGTGAGTTTTAATGAAGACAGTCTGTCCAGTCCATCAGCGGTGAGTTTTAACAAAGCAGTCTGGCCAGTCTGTCAGTGTGAGTTTTAATGAAGACAGTCTGGCCAGTCTGTCAGTGGTGAGTTTTAATGAAAACAGTCTGGCCAGTCTGTCAGTGGTGAGTTTTAATGAAAACAGTCTGGCCAGTCTGTCAGTGGTGAGTTTTAATGAAAACAGTCTGGCCAGTCTGTCAGTGGTGAGTTTTAATGAAGACAGTCTGGCCAGTCTGTCAGTGGTGAGTTTTATTGAAAACAGTCTGGCCAGTCTGTCAGTGGTGAGTTTTAATTAAGACAGTCTGGCCAGTCTATCAGTGGTGAGTTTTAATGAAGACAGTCTGTCCAGTCCATCAGCGGTGAGTTTTAACAAAGCAGTCTGGCCAGTCTGTCAGTGTGAGTTTTAATGAAGACAGTCTGGCCAGTCTGTCAGTGGTGAGTTTTAATGAAAACAGTCTGGCCAGTCTGTCAGTGGTGAGTTTTAACAAAAACAGTCTGGCCAGTCTGTTAGTCTAAGATCAACACCTTTAGGAGGAACAATACTTAAGCTTTGATTAGCTGCCTCGTTAAGGCCCCCAGAAAGCAACACAATCCCTTTCTTTATTTTTTCACTGGAGAAAGTCAAGCCCAGTTCATAACCCCCTTGTCTAGTCCCTAACCTCCAAACAGACACGTCACATAGATCTGACACTATCATATAGTCCTAGCCTAGGGCTGTGTGGAGCTATTACCATATTGCCTGCACTCATCCATCCAACCTCTAGGGGTTGATTTGGGACTGGGCATTAGTTTATCTGGGGAAACTGAAACCTGAGGAGAAGTTTGATGCGTGCCCAAAACAAGAGAGTTGGTACTGACTGTTTAGTAAACAAACAGAAAAACAGCCCTGCATGCTTACTGTCACAGTCCATTGAGAAGGATAGGTGTGGGGTACCCTATGGTGGCTGACTGGCTGGTTGGCTGGTTGGCTGGCTGGCTGGCTGGCTGGCTGGTTGGCTGGCTGTTGGCTGGCTGGCTGGCTGGCTGGTTGCTGGTGTGCTGGCTGGCTGGCTGGCTGGCTGGTTGGCTGGCTGGTTGGCTGGCTGGTTGGCTGGCTGCTGTCTGGCTGCATGTTAGGTTCTTTATAGTGGGTGGACTGGCTGGCTGGTTGGCTGACTGCCTGGTTGACTGGCTTTCTGGCTGGCTGTGACTAAAGCTCTGATGATCCTGTAGAGAGCTTTCCCCATCCGCCTTCTCCTACTATGCCCTATCCTAACAGTGTCACTGTGCCAGGTGGAGGGAGGCCAACATGCTATTTAGCAAACTACACTCTGTCTAATTCCGTAGAGCTGTGGGTTTGTCTGAGGTAAGCAGAGCAGAGCAGAGCAGAGAGACGGCATAGTATTAACTCTCTGTGACTCAGACAGAGAGAAGACTGGTCAATGGGGGCCTCCCGGCCTCCTCACAAAACAGGTCCTTGAGTACTACTCAAACACACTCAAATATACACAAATACACTCAGACATACTCAAAACTAAAGTCACAGAAACCCATGAAGGGGAGTAGGGTGGTGGTGGTTGTTCTACTTGGAAACAGAAAGATCAAGTTGTCCTCTCTTCCATCCTTTCAGCACACATTCCAATACCCTGATTGGCTACTACATACAGTAGCTTCCTTCCAACACACACCCAAACCAAACACATCCCATGGTACTCACCAAACCCTTACAGTTACTGAGCGCTACTCTGGTGGAGCTGTACTGATCGTGCAGGTATCCTACATAGTGGCAGTTCTCCACCATGTCGTGTCTCCACTCCAGGCCCTCTCTCCCCCAGTACTCCACTGTGAAATGTTTGGACACCAGGTGGGGGTTGAGGGTCAGGTTTAAGTGAAAGTGCTTTCCGTAAGCCGACAGTCTGAAGAAGAGCCGGGACTGGGCCGGGTCCTGTTCGGCGTGGTCTGTTGGCTCTGGGCCGATGGTGGTGTTGATGGCGTCTGCGGTTCGTCTCTTGCGACCGGGCCTGTGGTGTTTCACAGTGTAGCTGAGGAAGTCCCCGTTCTCGTCCACTCGCACTGGCACAGTCAGCTGGTAGTGCCGCAGGTAGGACAGGTACTCATCTTTTACAGAAAATAATGAATGGGGGGATGGAGGGACGAGCCATCGGAGGAGGAGAGACGAAGGAAGAGACAAATGAGGGGGATCTAGCCATTGCAGAATACATACAGGATACACACTATAGATAGTAGGACTCATAGAAAGTAGAATGTCAGTGTATGTCTATGGTGGAACTCAGACAGTGACAGGACATATATGACCTCACAGTGTGCCAGAGCTAGCAGGTTGTGATCTACAGTGTATGACTGTAAGTCGCTTTGGATAAAAGCGTCTGCTAAATGGCATATTTATTTTTTATTTATTTATTTAGTAGGTTCATCCCTCTAAAACAATAGTGAGGTCAGGACCACCAGACGTTACAGATGTCTCACTGACTGACTGACCACTGACCATGTGCAGCAACCATGCCTACACCTGCCTCACTGCTTAGAGAAATCACTTTCTCTTAAGGAGAGCATTTCTAGTACCTAGGGAGATGTGCACAAACTCCTTTCCTGCAGTCTATTACCAAAAGCGCCCTCTAGTGGCCTCATGGGTGGAATGTTATTAATATAATTAATAAAGATTGTGTTTTTTTTTTCAACAAAGAAAATCCGGTATTTCTATGTCAAACAGTTTTGATATATTGCAATCTTCTGGGATGTATATAAAGTGTAATATTGGGATGCAAACTCAAAATGGAATACATTTCAACTCTATGTCTGACATGGTACAGGTGTCTTATTTTTTTAAAGCCCATAACCATTTGTTTGAGGTGTATCCTTTTGTTTCAAAGTAGATCTATTTAAGACTACCATGAATCACTCTGTGTGACCCTGATTTAGCCCACTGCAGTAAAAGGTTATTAAGCAATGCGCAGTCCTACCTTGTGAGTTGTGCGAAAGTCTTTGAAATTCAGAGGAAGCCATGACCACCACCAGGCTCAATATCAATATCCAAGTCAGCGTCTTCCACAAAATTTCCATCATTTAGAGAAAGGTCTGACATGGGGTTGGGGGGAGGAGGGGTAAGGGGGGTGGTTGTGCTACTGACGGACTAGGAACACACGATCAGTCCGGCGTGCCTGGCACCATAACAAGTCCATGGTTTTAGGTCCTCTGTGTGGGACCTGTTCTCACTACTTCTCCTTCTCTTCCCGTCTCATCCAGGTCTCATCCAGAGAATGTCTCAGAGACACTCAGCTTCCTCCTGAGGGCAGTTGACACTTCCAGACCTCACTGGCGTTTCCCTCTGAGCTCATGTCAGCCACTCATCATGGGCGGTGATGATGCTAGAATCCAGCAGTAGATCAGTCAGTCTATTCAAACACATCCACTATAGATCTAGATCTATATTGGAAGTTTATCTTGACCAATCCATCTGCATACCTGTGAATACATCATTTCATAGGTAAATAAGCATACCTGCTACAAAACAACTAGTCTACTGCTTGTTACATCCTACATAGGCTAAACGTTTAATCTATAAATTACAATTAGCCATAGAGAAAAAAGATGCCAAATGACCAACAGTACACTCCATGACAGAAATACCATCCTCCAGCTGCCTGCTAAACCTGGGGCCAGGGTGTGTGTTTAAGGGTGTTTATGACACCACACCATCTCCACAGCCTAAGGAGAAGACAGCCTCTCAGACATTCAACAGCAAGTCAACAACAACAACCCATTGATCAAGTACAAAAGCAGCATGTGCTGATGTCCGCCAGCCCACTCAGTCAACACAGCACCTGTCTCTATAACAGGTTGACATCGCTATCCCACTGATGCTCTCTGCAGCCAGGAGCAAATCAACAGATCAATGTTGGTCTCAGCAAGCCCTCTGTGTGTGTGTGTGTGTGTGTGTGTGTGTGTGTTTTTGTGTGTAAATAACGCAGAAGTAAAGGTGTAATTATCATGTCATAAACATGTAATAATGCACACATTTATCCATTAACCTATCAATCAATTAATCAATCAATAAATAAATAAAATTGTATTTCAAATCACTTACGGGATATTCTTCAAGAAAGAGAAGGTCAGTCACTCACACAGCCCATAAACTGCATGCCAAACTGTTAGAACCAAGTGCAGGCGAGGTTCTACGTTTAGGTCCTAGTGAAAATGATGCGTAAATTCCACCAATCACCTCTGATCTATCGGATGTGCGTAAAGACAGTATGGGTGGGTATCTGTCTGCGGACAGAATCCATAGTGTTGGAAGCGGCGTGTTGTACCTTCTCTAAAGGCTGTGTAACCAACATAGCTGCACATATCCAGACAGCAGCGCTAAATCTACTTGGCCACTCCGTCTGACCCAGACAGTTGGCACTCGGCCCGAATACATCAGACTACACCTACCGACAGACCAACCGATCGCTCAAATAAAAACAAGTGACTTTTCACTGCTTCAGCTAATCTAGGAAATAGTGGATGCAAGTTTGCAACTTTAACCATTTAGGCTACTCGCCAAACACTGTCAGTGTTAGGAGTTGTAAGTGCCTATAAGCTTTAATTTATTACTTTTTATCTATTTCTCGTTTTGTTAAAATCACAAAATAGTTTTTCCAAAATATGTAGTCTACAATGTGAAAGATAAGTCATTGCATTTTCTGTTATTTTCTAAAGATGGATAGCCTACAGGTTTTAAAGAAGAGGAATCTGCGGTGTCTCCGTTAAACGTGCATGAGTTGTGTCTATGGAGTGCTGATAGACTACGAGCAGATAGTTACCGTCTTGATTTTCATTGGCAGCGGCAAAACCCAACTGTGGAGAGTAGAGTACAGTGTGCAGACAATAGACTTCGTCTGCACTGAGTTCCGTGGTAGCCAGATCACTTCTCTCCTCTGTCCATCTCTTCTCGGTTTATGCCATTCTCTTCTCTTTTTCTTGGACTCTCATCCCGCTACTGCAGCGGCTCGCTCCCCTTAAGAAAACAGAGTGGAGCGCAGGCTAAAATACAACTCTCTTTGCAGAAAATAGTCTATGCCCAAGAATAATGACACCTAATTTATAGATTTGGTGTGTTTGCTGAGTTGTTACTTTTGGATAACGCAGGTAGTATTCTGCATAATAATAGCAAATAGTCTAGGTCTATGACAGTGCATGCAACACAGCTAAATTGAGTTGAAGTATACCCCCCTTTAATACAGTATACCCGGTCTGGAACCATAGCCAAGTTCTGAGCTGCTTCAAATTGGCAGCTTTTTCAGGCTGGGCGGTTCAGTTTACGTCATTGCAGATGTGCCCATTCTAACCATGTGTGCGCATGTTCCGATCTATTATCACGTGCAGGGGGAGGAGGACTGGGGGGATAGAAATAGGGTTCAAGAACTATCAGCGCAAAGTGTATTATAATTGACAGTATTTGCCAACAATCACAGTAAGAAAATGTGGCATACTTAAAAAAGTATTTCTTCCAACAAAGATAAACACAGGTGTAAAACAAATATTTAAAAAAATGTGTGGAGACCTAGCTAACATATAAAGTCTAGTGAAATTGGTAAGCTTTAATAGCCTGCCCTAGACTGTATTTATTCTTACCTTGGATAAGATGAAATGCACATACTACACTGACACTCCAACACATACACACACACACACACACACACACACACACACACACACACACACACACACACACACACACACACACACACACACACACACACGCACACACACACACACACACACACTACATACGCTCACAAACACATGCATATTGACGCCACGCACACACACACACGAACTCACACATTGACACACTTTCACACTCTTTCACACGCTTCATCTGATGATTTAACACATAACTATTTCAAGGATTGTTGCGCCATCCAGTGTTCATAAACTATATAGCAACTTTCATCCATTATTAACTTTCATCGTTAGCTCTATTAATTAATCTCAGAAATGCATCTTGTCCTCTTTATTTCGCCTATACTTATTGCCTTATTAATTTGAGGCATTTTATGTGTTCTTAGTCTGAGGTTTCCTCATTGTAGATTTTATTGAATTCCTGCCTAAATTGCAAAACTTCAGAGTTTAAATGTAAATCAGGAGAATCTTTGATCAAAGGGAATCCCCCCCCCCCCCCCTCTCCTCTCTCTCTCTCTCTCTATATATATATATATACAGTGAGGGAAAAACATTATTTGATCCCCTGTTGATTTTGTACGTTTGCCCACTGACAAAGAAATGATCAGTCTATAATTTTAATGGTAGGTTTATTTTAACAGTGAGAGACAGAATAACAACAAAATAATCCAGAAAAACGCATGTCAAAAATGTTATAAATTGATTTGCATTTTAATGAGGGAAATAAGTATTTGACCCCCTCTCAATCAGAAAGATTTCTGGCTCCCAGGTGTCTTTTATACAGGTAATGGGCTGAGATTAGGAGCACACTCTTAAAGGGAGTGCTCCTAATCTCAGCTTGTTACCTGTATAAAAGACACCTGTCCACAGAAGCAATCAATCAATCAGATTCCAAACTCTCCACCATGGCCAAGACCAAAGAGCTCTCCAAGGATGTCAGGGACAAGATTGTAGACCTACACAAGGCTGGAATGGGCTACAAGACCATCGCCAAGCAGCTTGGTGAGAAGGTGACAACAGTTGGTGCGATTATTCGCAAATGGAAGAAACAAAAGAACTGTCAATCTCCCTCGGCCTGGGGCTCCATGCAAGATCTCATCATGAGAACGGTGAGGAATCAGCCCAGAACTACACGGGAGGATCTTGTCAATGATCTCAAGGCAGCTGGGATCATAGTCACCAAGAAAACAATTGGTAACACTCTATGCCGTGAAGGACTAAAATCCTGCAGCGCCCGCAAGGTCCCCCTGCTCAAGAAAGCACATATACAGGGCCGTCTGAAGTTTTCCAATGAACATCTGAATGATTCAGAGGAGAACTGGGTGAAAGTGTTGTGGTCAGATGAGACCAAAATCGAGCTCTTTGGCATCAACTCAACTCGCCGTGTTTGGAGGAGGAGGACTGCTGCCTATGACCCCAAGAACACCATCC